ATAAAGCACAGAGTTGTAAAATGACGCCCCAAAACAAGTGCACGTAAAACCGAATATAACTTTAGCTTCCGGAAAATGTATCCTGCGAAGTTTTGAGCTCGTGCAATCCGGTGTCCAAATGTGATTTAAATTATAAATATATTGTCTATTCTTCGCGATATTTATGTGTCATTGGGAACATCATTGCACGCACCTCTCTTAAAGAAGTCCGTACGATAACCAACCAAGTCCTGAACAGTTAGAAGTTCAACGTCTCAAAACCGGTTCGGTATTTTCATCAGGAGGAACTATTTGCACGTGGAGAGCTGCAGCTTCTTTTCCGTCTACGGTGTGTCGTTTGGTTCCTTCACTTTTAATGCGAAAGCATTAAAAGTGAAGCAAAGTGCCCCATGGAGCGAACTGACGTCATCAGCTTTGAAGCCGCAACAAACGGCGCCTTCCTCCATCCCAATGTCGCGTGTAGCAGAAATATGATGGATAGGCTCCCATTGGCTAGCGCGTGTCTTCAAGGAACGAGGCTCCCATTGGCTCTCGTGCGGCGTAGTTCTAAAAAAACGCCACCAAAGAAGAGCGGCGCAGCGCACGCAGCAGCCCGGCCGCCGTAAAGGGGTGCGGCCGTGCGAGCCTGGCCGCACGACCCGCTCGGGCAAACTCCGAAGTGGTTGCACGGCCGAGCTCAGCGCGGCGAGGCCGCTTCACGAGAGTGCGCGCTCGGCCGCCGGCCAGCGAAACGTGGCCGTCCACGCCACTACGCCGCAGAAGAACGACATTCATGATTTTGCCTTCACAACTCATAAGAAGTGCTTAGGTGTCCTCGAAAGTTTTATGTTCTTCAAGTGCCCTAGACCGTTGACATACGCCGATGGTTAAGAGGCTGTCGATCTATTGAGCCCGACCTATTAAAACGTTGGGTTCCTAAACGTTTAGGACTTGGTTGGTGAAGGTTTGTATATTTCAAATTTTTGACCCAACCAGACGGAGTTCTGTCAAACGTGTTTACGTTTAAAACCCGCATTTCTATTCATTTATTTTTGCAGTAAGGTGTCCTGTACGGGATTATTTAGAATAATACCATTTATTATCTCTCTTTCTGCACATTTCGTGTATTTGCCTTCAGATCTATAATGTGAGCACACAGTCGTTTTTGGCGTAGCCCGCAACCCGGCGTTTCACACTGCCGAACAGCGAACATAAAAACACGTTTCCACAGACTCAACAGATGGAGTATTCTCGAGTATCATCCTCCTGTGTCGGTCTTAAGCGGTTATGTGTACTTCATACAGACAAATGTATTGTTGACAATAAAAAGATGTTATTGCTGCCTTAAGACTTGACAACTTAAATAAAGGGCCGATCACCCTAAAGATACACATCATAAGTAAATGCACCTCCAAATTATCTGATATATGCTCTGCAAATCTTTTTCGGCGTATCTATCCTCGATTGGCACAAGTGGTTTGGGAGAACCTTAGACAAATGTTTTATTTTGAAGCTGATTTAAATAACATAAGTGTTCCTGACTCATATTCAGCTTCTCAAACATATAGAAGTCTGTTGCTCCTTTTATGTGATAAACAAGAATTTTATGTGCCTGGGGGCGGGACGCAAACAAAGTACACAGTGGCGCGTGGCGGAACAATGACGATTGCGCATACAGACCGCCAGAAAGTGATTAAGTAGCTGTATTGTCGAGCAGAGTATGAAATACTACTTTGTTTTATTTAACAAAGATATAAAAATAGCAAGGGTGATGCTTATTTGCAAATTGAATTGACCGGCATGTTGAAAAAACAAACCTCAAACGCCGTGCTATGTCGAAAATGTTCACATCGGTACGCGCTATTTTAGGCCCGATCCGATCTGAGTACGAAGGTCATTCTTCTCTGCATGATTATTCACCTGCATCACGGTGCTGAGTGTAAACAATATTGGTCAGGAAAGCAAGCGTTGTGATTTCCTCTCAGTGTTTCTATAAAAAGCAGACTGAAAGGGTTTGTCCTAAAAAATTCCTGGCATTCTGAAAATATTGCTTTTAGGTTAGCTCAGTTGCGTCGTCATCGTATATATTGTAAAACATATTTTGTAAACAAGATTTCGAAATATATATGGTGAGGACGTGCCCATTTTATGATTTTATGCACTGCAATTAATTCCTAGGTTCAAGAGCACAGCAGGATTCGACTTTGAATACTGCGACGCAAAGTGTAGCATTAACAGGTATTTTAGGCCACCTGCCAAACTGACAAGCTTTAGATTCAGGCAAAATATATGCGACTGACTTAAAAGAAAATAGATGGTGAGTCATATATGTTAATCTAGCTTACTTTTACTGTTTCATCGAAATTAAATATGATACTATATGATACTTGTCTCACTGTTGAAATAGTGCCTATTGCCTTCCTCCCCCCCCCCCCCCCTTTCCCGGGGGGGGGGGGGGGGGGGGGCACCGAAGGCTAGAAGCGCGAGCTCATAGTTTTGGCCACCGTTACTAGATCAACTCAGTTATGGAACTTCCCATAGACGCGGTACATTGGAGGGGGTCCGAAACCGTGTCCGATTTGTTTGCCGCTAGGTGACGCTGCCGGCGCATTATTCCACGCGTTTTCGTCTGCTACTGCTCCGCGGCTGCTTGCGAGTCCCGACTCCTCTCGAGGTTCAGCATGGTTTTTGGTAGTGATGGGCCGAACTTTTGCCGAATCGAAAATTCGGTGCCGAATCTTGGGATTCGGCAAAGCCGAAATTTTGCCGCACTTTTCTAAAAATTCGGCAAAGATTCGGCAAAAATCCATTGTTGCCAGACTTAAAAGTGATATTTCGTTTTTTCTGACGAAAACTTTTTCAGTTTTTTTTTCTTAAACTTAAATGCAACGTATAATGCACATTGATACAGTTATTAGCAAATAAGGTGATATTCTACAAGGTAATTGTGTCGGTGTCCTTTTTGTGTGTTTACTGGCAATTTAACAGCACTTCTTGCAGAAGTGGTGTGACAACGATGTTGAGTAGCGGCCGCAGCCACGACACGCGAGTTTCTGTTTTGACTCCTCATCAGCGCAAGGCAAGCCTGCAAGTGTCTATGCCAACGTTACGTCTGTGCATTGTTGTCGGTTAAAGGGAAATAAAGACGGTAACACTGTGTTCTTACTTTCTCTGCGAGTCACTGTTTCGCACGTGAAAATGAATGAACCGGCTGCTGAGCCAGCTGATCCTCCTCCAGAAGAGATAATATTATTGTAAGTTTGCATGTTTTTCGATTTGAGTCACTTGACGCCAGCTTTGCATGAAAGTGCGCGTTCCATATTCGCGACGTCTCGTTTTTAACTTTTAAAATACTGGTTTCTGATCTTAAAACAGGCAGTCGTTTAAAGAGATAATAAGAGTTAGGAATGTCGGATATGGAACGTCGTGCAGGTTTAGTTTTAGGTGGGTGAATGAAAACCGCGAAATAACGCTAATTAAAAAGCAATATATATATATATATATATTGCTTTTTATATATATATATATATATTTGCACAAACAATTTGTGAGCCGAAAACAGGATTGCTATAATGCGAGGAGTGCTTCAAACTACTGTCAGACATGTTGCAATTACCTCGTTGCATCACACGACAGAATTTATGTGCCAATGAAAATGTCAAAATCTCCTGAACATGGCATGTTCGGGTGCCCACGATGATTCGCTGGCTATTAAAGTGACCGTATAAATCAGCCTCATAACGCATGACGGAATGCTTTATCAGAGAGGTGTCTGAACGTGGTGGAATCATTATTTGGAGGTATGATCAAAAGAAAAAAAAAAGTTTTGTTTTATGTCAAAATTGCCGCATTTTTTAAAATATATTTAAAACATTTGTCTTGGGCCATTCTGGCGTTTAATACGACTGAAAAACGGGTGGAATACAAAGGACACTAAATTGGCTTACATATATTATTCAATTCAATTCATTAGCCCGAAATAAGCTTCACAAAGGCAGAAAATATTGTCTATGAGATTCTCACACAATGTTTATATCCTTATTTGGGTCAGCACCAAGCGATTTACAAACAGGACTGCAGATCCAATCATATTGCGTCTTAGATGTTTTGTTTGTGTATGTGCAAGCAAAATTATCGGTATGATATTTGTTTCTGTTTTACATCCACTCATTAGCGCATTGCCAGCTGAAATCAAAACAATACTTTGAGATTAATATCTCGTCTATTTTTACATTACAAGTGAAACTACACGTGGTGTGATGCATGAATCACTGGAAGAGACAGCCCCCGAGCCAACTGCTCCCATGGACGATGCTCAAGCTCCAGTCTATCTCATTGATCTGGAGGAGTTGGAGGGGCTCAACTTTTCCTTCCTTCAAGGTAAAATAAGTCATAACCAAAACTTAGCAACCTACAACCGCCTGCAAAAAAAGGCAATCAATGTAGCACACCATCGTTTTTTCTCAAATATGTATTTTATTTGTCATAGCATCACCAGAAAAATAAAAAAAAATGCTGAAAGCAAGCAATTAAAAATCCAATATTTGACACAGTTCCATCCAACTAAGTCAAATTGGATAATTGGTCGAGTTTTTTGGTGCCTGTAGATGCACTTTCTGATTATAGGGGCACCATATGTGGATGGGATGAGGTTGAATCGGGATCTGTGTAATTTATTATGCCAACATCACTTTTGGGCCAATTGCTATGTGATCCATAGTGAGAGAAAATATCAGTTCAGGTGTGCTGATTAAGGAACGCTTACAGAAGAATTTATTTGATAATGCAATCAGGCAATCAATTAAAAAAAAGTTTTATTAGATTTGGGTTTTGAAAAAAACGTTCAAACACTCAGAACTACATGGAGCATGCAACTGAAAGTAAATGTTTTGTTTGTCCAGCTCAAGAGCTAGAAAGGCAAGGCTACTACGTGATTCAGAAGAGTGCTGCAGCTACAAGTGACAAATCATCTGCCAGCACAAGCGCCTCTACCAGTACAAGCGGTGTTCCTCTTATAAGCGATGCTCCTGCAGGTTCCGCCATTCTCACCGCTGCGTCTAGAGGGAACCTTCAACCCAGCCACGAAAAGAATGCGACAGGACCTCCGCTTCAAACTTCTAAGCAACAAAAGACGGTTTCTACCATATGGGCTCATTTTGAAAGGTGCACCAAAGATAAGCTGGCAGCTACCTGTTGCTACTGCCGAAGGAAGGTACGTGTTGGAAAACCGGGAGGCGACACTCGCACGACGGGGACCACAGCACTGCACAACCATATGAAGCGTAACCACGCACACCTAGTTACAAATCCCAGGGAAGCAGCAGCAAAGGAAATAAGCTCACTAATTCAACAGAGTGCACCCGAGTCAAAAAACCAGAAGAAAGTGCAACCGACACTCCAGGAAGCACTAGACCGGAAGAAGGCCTGGGAGCCCACTGATGCGCAGGCACTGCTGCACTGCCAAAAGCTGGCAGAATTTCTGGCTGTCAGCATGAAGCCATTCTCTATGGTGGAAGACCCAGCATTCCTCAGGTTCATGCACTACTGTGTGCCCAAATGGAAGATTCCTGGGAGGAAACACTTTGCTTCCTCTGTTGTTCCTGCTCTCGAAGCAGCCATTCGTGAGGCCCTCAAGAAAGAGCTCAAACTCAGCATTGGGGGAATAGTGCATCTGACCACCGACATCTGGTCAAGCCGGCAAGTGACGGACTACATGTCTGTCACAGCTCACTGGATGATCCAGGATCAGCAGGGATGCCTGTCCAGACGGAAGGCTGTCATGGACATGGCAAGTTTCGGCCAAACGCACACGGCTGAGAATATAGCCGAAAAGTTGGACTCCGTCGTGAAACGCTGGCTGCCACCTCTGGACTTAGAACCAGGTTATGTGACCACGGACAACGCTCAGAATGTTGTCAGAGCATTAAGAGATGTCAACATGAAGCGAATTCCGTGCATGGCACACTGTCTCAACCTCGTTGTGAAAGGAGGCCTATCGAAGGCTGGACCAGCTGTGGAAGATGCTTTAAAGACTTCCCGGGCCATCTGTGGACATTTTCACCATTCGGCTACAAAAATGTCAAAGCTCGCAGAGATACAGCGCCGGCAAAACTTGCCCCAGCACCAGCTGCTACAAGACGTGCCAACTCGCTGGAACAGCACCTTGTATATGGTAGAACGACTGTGTGAGCAACGACGTGCGGTGACAGAGTTCTTTGAAGACAGCAGCAAGCACCACCTCACTCCAGAACAGTGGATGCTTTTGAAGACCCTGATAACTGTGCTGCGACCATTTGAGGAGGCGACCCGCCTGGTGTGCATGGATGATGCTACATTAGGTCAAGTGCTGCCTCTGCTCAAGTTCATTGAAAGGAGCCTTGAACGGATGGCCAGCCGTGAAGGGGCAGCGGGTACTGCACAGCTTGCTGCCAGCCTGCTAACTGCATTGCACAGCAACAGGCATCTGAACAGCATCAAGGAAGACATTGTGTACTGGGCTGCAAGCTTCTTAGATCCAAGGTTCAGGAACACATTTGGCAACTACACTGAAGACCAGGCCGCTTTAAAACTGAAAAGGACTCAGGAGCACCTTATTCGCCAGATTGAGGAGACCATGGATGCTAAAGATGACTGCATCACAACAGAAACCTCGTCGCAAATGTCAGCGCAACCGTGCAGTACATCGGTTCAAACAGTGACCCCACCTCCAGCTGGAGAATTCAGCCTGTGGTTTTCCAGCTCCGACGAGATGGGACTGACCCAGTCACAAGTGCGGCCAGAGCATGCACCACCCCAGCCATCCTTAGCTGCAAAGGTTGAGCTGGACGCATATGCCCAGGACAGAGACGCTGACAGCTATGGAGTGAAGAGTGACCCATTGCAATATTGGGCAACAAAGAAAAACCAGTGGCCTTCTCTTTTCGTAACTGCAGTCAAGCACCTGGCATGCCCCCCAACCAGTGTTTACTCTGAGCAGGCATTCAGTGCAGCAGGCATGATTGTAACCGAGAGGAGGAACCGTCTAAGCACGAAAAATGTTAGCATGCTGGCATTCATTCGGATGAACAGGGCTTGGATCGACAAGGCAGCATCCCCGATTACTTCGATGCTGGAGCAAGATCTGGTCAGCTCAGAATCAGATAACGAGGACGAAGAGCCACTTCTTAAGAGAGTTCACTTTGAAGATACTTAGTGCTTGATGCCAAGATCTCCATATGTTTATGTTCACAAATAATGGGACCCATTATATTGTGCTATCAATTCGTTGGAGCGCATGAATCCGTATACTTCACTAGGGATATTGTACTTTCCACAAAGATGTTGCTAGGTGGTGGATGTGTTACAAGTAAAGCTAAGAATGATTATATTTCTATAGACAGCAGTCAATTATAGCAAACTGATGTTAGCCCTGACTGTAGGATTAATTTTGGTAAGTTGGTTTCGCAGAATGTCAGTGAGTAATGAAAGTGCACGGAAGCCAAAGCAATGTGTGTTTCTTAAATAGTATAGGTTTTTGTAAAAAAGTAAGGTGTCAACGGCATGAATCGCATTTTCTGCCTAACAAGAAAAAGGCTTATCATGGTGCACAGCTGTAGATAAAAAAATGCTTAATTTCCACAACTTCAGGTATGCATATCCACCACTCAGTTACGTCTTTGCAGAAAATAAGTCCCAAAGTGAAGCAGCATATTTTTCTGTGGTTTATTGAATGGGTGGCACAATATAATGAATAACCCTGTACAAAACATTTTTGTTACGTTTTCACATCTAGTCCCACTATTTGCAGTGTTCCTATAGTTATGTTTTAAAGGAGGACACGGCGTGCTCTAGTCCTCACACTTGCGACGCAAGTTTTTGTTGGTTGTTTTATCTAGTCATTGTGTCTTGCCTTAGTTTTCTGAATTATATTTTATAAAGCCATATTCTAAGGACATCATTATTTTGTTTCGCTTCAGGTACAAGTGAATATATGCTTCAAATGCTCAGGTTATTTTACAACATTGGAGATAAAATCCTCCTCCTCAAGCAAGGATATACCATACAGAATTCTGATGTATCTTACTGACACCTTTATTCCAAAATGAAGGGACTCATAACAAGGGCGGATCTTCCAACATTGGCACATTATTTGTTGTTGTCGCCACATCGTGCAGTGCTCTCTATGCTCCGTTCCATAATCTACAATGTTGTCAAAGCTAGAGGCGCAAGCGAGCTGTTTTTTCACGTTGTGTGCAGGGCTATCAAAGGTAGAATACGGGCTTGAAAGCATAGCCATGCTTGGTTTGCGCTCACGCACACAGAGCGCTTTCGAAAACCACAAGCTTGCGCTCACGTTGTTGTGAGCATTGAAAACGCAGAACCGACGCGCTTGCGCTACAAGTTTTGACAGGGTTGTGGATTAAGTATGGCACTGAGTACAGAGAACACGAAATCAAACCCGAAATACATTAAAACGGCCCTTCACGCTCCGCCTCGTACACATCACTGGGAAGATAAAATGGAAATCACGTTATCCGGAATGTAGCGCATCATTTGTCACTTGGGCAGTCGACTGCGTCAATTCCCGGTCGATCTTCAGTTCTTGAGGAAGAACATATTGAAGAGAGCCACACTCACGAAGGCTGAAAAACACAATGTCGCCTACTGCGCACCTTGCCGTAACACCTAGTACTACACTGTACGAGTATGACGATGGTAGGAAACCGCACAACCGCACGGCGTCCATTTGCAATCCATGGCTTCGTCTGGTGCCATCACTACAGCGCACCGTTGTTCCCGCGCCTGCACAGATGTTTGCCGAATTTTTGCCGAATCTTTGCCGAACTTTCCACCAAAAGTTCGGCAAGTGCCGAACTTTGCCGAATCTGAAGTTCGGCAGATTCGGTCCATCACTAGTTTTTGGTTAATTTTTGCCCTTTCGACAGTAAAAATTACAATTTAAACATGAAAAGCGCTACGACCGTTTTGGCATACGCTTTGCATTATTGTAAAATGCTGCTGCCTTAGCTGTGCTGACAGCGTGAAGCGTTTCGAACAACCCAAATTCGTCGGCGCCACAATCCGGTGGCTACAATCAGGGCAAGTTTGTACATACTGTAATAGTAGAAGTGCCGATGACTACCAACTGCAGCAGAAACAATTTGAAAGTCGTTTGCTATTGTCAGAAAGAGCGCCACGAACATCCGTAAGCTTAGCAGGCCAGATGCAACGGCCATGTACGATCTCTATGGCAACGGCCACAAGCGCGCCGTCAATGATGATGATAGCGAGTATTAATGCGGAGCGCGCGCCCTCTAACAGGCGCCACTCAAAGGGACCCCCCTCCGGAGCGGAGTTCCATAACTGAGTTGGTTCTAATAACGTTGGCTTTGTCAGCTGCTCCTGCTGCACGAGAGCTTGTGCTGCCGAGATGTGCCCTACAGCAAGGAGCTCGCGCTTGTAGCTTTTACTGCGGTACATAGTAAGGTGAAATAGACTACAGCACAGAACATTTCTCGGAAAGTCTGGTATTCAGCGCACAGCTTTTGCAGCGGCGAGGACCCGAAACATGATTTCAAACCCGACGAGAAAAGAAGCGGTAACCCGAGGAACGCGAGAAGCACGAGCGGAAATTTCCATCGCTCGGGACCACGGTGTAAGATAATACTCTTCAGGTGAGGACAGCGCGCTCCTCGCGCAGTGCAGATGAAGTTCGCTTTTCACTCTCTCTCTTTCTCTCTCTCACTATGGTTTCAAGCGGCGCCGGCAGATGACTCGTCGACCCGTGGGCACTAAAGCATAGAGTAATATACACAAGGTAAAGAGCGGACACTGCCATAGGCCCCAGCGGCCCAGATAGACCAGTGACAGGTAGCGCTCCTAGCGGGCGGTATTAAGCATAATCTGATTCCGTTCCCGGTCAAGTTAGTTTCGGTTTCGGTTTGGGCGTTTTTGCTCCGGTTCTCCAATACCCTTCTCTCTCTCTTTCCTCCCCGCCTCGCTCATCTCTCGGGAGCACCTTGACTCCCGAAGCCGCTGTTTTTTTTTTTTTTTTTTTTAATACTGACACACTTTTGCTTTATTTTTTTACGATAGAGTCCGTGCAAAATGTGTCAAACAATATTTCAACTTGCTTCACAAAGCAGAAGTATATATATTTCTTGTTCTTTTTATATTGTAAAGCATTGAAGTTACACAATCACCGCATTGACTCCTGGCTGGTGGAACATTTTGGGGTCAACAACAGTAAGTGATTCAAAAACATTTTATTGGACCACATTCATGTACACATTATTTACTTCTGAAGCTCTGTATGTTTTATACGAAAGAGATCGATACTCGCAAAAATAAATGAATATGAAGGACTTCGGCATTCGTACACTTCGTAATAGATTCTTAGCGGAACCAAGTTAACAAAACCCTTCCACGGAGAACATGCTGTATGATACATTCACTTTCACGCCGACTCGGGTACAAGAAGTAAGTGCAAAAATAAATAAGACATCGCTATCATTACCAGTCATAAGAGTATAATAACAGTGCGAAGCACACGCCGGATAGTACAAATTCCCGATTTCCGGCAAATATAAAAAAACACCAATTTGCATAGCCTCAAACTCACTGCGGGCGAGCCATTACCAAACAATGAGAACTCTATTTGAAATCTGACAAGATTCAACGTCCCTAAATATTCCCCGAAATTGTCCAGAAAAGAAATATGGCTTCAGAAAAAAGCGGCTAAAAAACTATGGACAGTGGATACAAAAGTGGATACCTTTTCTTTCAGATATTGTTAGCCTCTATACACTATTTTCTATCGAATTTGTTTAGAAAGTGGACAAATATTTTTGTTAGAGGGCCGTGATACACATTCGCTGGAAAAAGGGGGAAACAAATATTTGGAGAGCAAGCTGCACCGCCAACTTAATCACTTTTTGTTTTTGGTTTGGCAACCGCCTCTGTTAATACGCTATTAACAGTTAAACCTGTCTCGTTCTTACTAGCCACTGAAGAGTGCAACCGAACTTTGTCCGAATTCCGGTTAAGAAATCAAACATGTCAACACAAGCGTATTCTGCAAAACAATTTTAAAAACCCTTTCTGGTACTCCTCTGGGCAAAGGCGAAAACCACCCAGACCTTAAAGTGTGCTATACAAGGCGGCACACACTCCTCGAACATCTGTCACACTCTCTATTATGGGAAGAAAGTGATTTTCTAGTTGCTGAATGAAATGAAAGGCAGCCTGTGATGGTACTACTAAGTTCCCGAAGAATTTTCCAGGCACGTGGTATGCTTTAGGAACAAGACTGTACTGGTGAGGCCTGGTCAAGTTATTAGACTCATCCGATAGCAGCTGAGAACAACCACAGCTGTAAGTTGTCTGTTCAAGCAAAAGCTTGATCAAATAGCCCCAAACCTAATAAAAACGTGGACGAGTCATCAATTATGTTAGACCAGATGTCTGATGCCAGCTCAGAAATATCCTCTAGTGGCGGGAAGTTATCAGTTGGAAGACATTCCGCAATGTCTGAAATTAAACTTTCATGGTGCGAAGATATTTGCAACTCCTTTAGGAGGTCAGCCTTGTCATCTTCTACGTTTTCATTGTCCGACAGTTTGAACAGTTTCTTTATTCAGAGGTGTTTTAGTCCTGAGGTGAACTGATGCACATTTGGGTTTGTGTTGCAGCCCAGCATTTGTCGTATCTAGCTCCAAAAACGTTCTCAAGTGCGTCTTGCTGCAGGCGTCGTGTAAGTAAGAACTTAAAGTCATGGCTGCTTGAAAGCTCATCCCAGAGCATGAGGACACTTTTTATAGTAACTTGCCACCCAATGATGGCCTCCTACTTTGGAACTGCCATGCTGAAATCCATCCGAGTTACTGGTGGAGAAAATCAAGTATTTGAGATTCTCCCTTCAGAATGGCATGACGCAACTTCTGCCCTGTCTTCTTGAATTTTTTAGCTATTTTGACAATCAAAAAGTATGTCCATCCTATCACAGAAATAGGCTGTAGCCATGGCTGCCTCAGGAAGTTCCTTTGCATAAACAAGAGATATGATTACATGAAAGTTTGAGGCACTCAGTACCTGTGGGGCACAATTTTCTTCCATGTTACAGAAAGGTTTTTTGAATAAATGTGTCTCTCAGTAAGTTTCGGAGTCAATTGCAAGCTAATCTCATGGATAGAACAATGAAGTTCAACAATAGAA